GCCCGGCCTCCACAAAGTCCGGTTCTATTTAAAAACGCATGGGAGAGCTCGCCGGCCTCGGAAAGCTCCCAAGCCGCACGCTGCTGGCACCCCGTAAGACGTGCGAGTTTTAACTGAAAATGTCAATATGCCCTCGCCCTGCCAAAAAAAATAGGATCCCAGGATGAGCCGCCGGGCTAGAAAAGAAAGGTCCTTCCTCATGGAAAAAACACTGTACTCCAAGGGCCGTGTGGCATTTTGTGATCCTACAGCCTGGGCTGGTTTGCAACTTTCCTGCACAAATATTTGCTTGGTGTTTGTAAGGCTTTGCTACGTTTGTTCCTTCCTCATTTTCCTCTTTCTGGCCGATAACTTCACTTTTTGTTTCTCATTTGAATGCCGTATAACACATGCTGACTTACTTGATTCATTGCCAATATTTATTTCAAATTGATAGACCGCAGTGAAAAGTCACTGCAGTATTAACAGCTGTAATGGTATGAAGAAATTCATCACTGGGAACACAGACTAGCAGAAGATTCAAACCGTAAAGTAAATCAACACGCTAGTACTGTTCATCCTGACTTAGAAAGTATGGGTGTATAGATTTTGTTGGCAGTAATTTTAAGTTAAGTTTCACTAAGGCTGAAATTGCCATAGTCTTATTTGTTTATACACAATTTGTTTTCTTGACACACAGAGTGGTTCCATGTATAGAATCACCTGCCAAATATTTTTAGCTTATGCTTTTGGACTTTACCTAACTTTCCTCTCTTTTTTTGCCAGCACACAAGCACAGAAGTGAAGTCTGTCTTAAAGAGAATTAAATGCAATCCACGCTTAAAGCTATAAACCGATTTCAAACCGATTTTCTTAACTCGTGTTTTCTTGGGAAAGGACACAAATTTGCTTTGTGCCGAAGATTTTTGTGCTTTCCTCCGCCACCATTTACATGCAGTAACATTACAGCCCCTTCTTCAGAGAAAAGGACTTTTCTGCCCAGCTCATCTGTGTTGATTACTGAACACCCCCCCAGGGCCAGAGACACCTTCCGTAGCACTTCCAAAACTGGAAATTAATTCTAGTTCCATCACAGGCACTCCACACTGCTACTCTGTTCCATGAGACTGATGTATTTTATTTGTGAATATGTAATTTCCTGACTAGATAATTTATTGCTGAGGTTAGACTGAATGTGCCTAATGATCCTTTTCGGCCTTGAAATCTCTGTGTTTATGACTTTCACCCCTCGTTGACCTTCAAGTTTTCCATCATTTTTGTTTATTTTTGCAGATACCAGTATGAAAACTGATTTTAGTCGGATAAATCTAGACTCCTGGATATATTGTTTATCTAGCTATTTTCGTATTTTCTTTTTTTAGTTGATCATGTGAAAATCAGGCACATAAATTCTGCAAAACTATAAAATGAATACTATGACAGACTATACTTAATACTATGCGATGAGCTTAAAACCCAGCCATTTATAGTATGGAAAATTACTTTAAGAGTATGTATATTTGAAGATAGCTATTAAGAAAGGCTCATGAAGCAAAATTCTAATTCTTTGTCTGTCTTTTACATTATTTTTTCTTTTTAATACTGTTACAGTTCCTGGGTAATTGTGGCAGTTGGATTGCTGGTTCTGGTTTTTATTGCTCTGTTGGCTCATGTTCTTGTCAAAAGAAAACCACCAAAAGACCCACTATTTTACGGTATGTCTTAGTAACACTGAAGCTAAATTCAGAAAGCGTTAATTTATATAAATGACAATAGATGATGGGTATCTCAAATTGCGCATTGAAGCCATGGCTTCAGAACCCAGTCTGGTGAGGCGTTAAGGAAACCAAGAAACTGGGGGAAAAGGAGCAGAAATAGTGCTTGTTTTGAACCTTTTAATTATTCTCAAATAAGAGATCCAGCTGAGGGAAAAGCCAGACTTCCTATCTGAGAAGAATAACACTTGAGTTGGGGTATGAAAGTGTTTGATATATGGTCATATCTGCTCTGTTAAGATCCTCCTTGTATCAGGACTTAGGCATCACAGCAGACCTCTCCTGTGTATCTCATCCTGAGTGGATTTATTTGAGATTTTTGGATCTTTTGGATCAATGTCCTCCATGGCTTGGTGCATCCTATGACTGAATTCCTTAATTCTCCCATTTGCATTAGGCTTTTATGCTAACTCACCTTTGTGACATATAAGAAAGTTCATATCGCCTCCACTCCTGGCTTACACTGTCTGCGGACTCGGGCAAACAGTCCTATATTGATAGTTTGCCATAAAAGAATAGAGATATTGATTACCATTTAAAAGGAAAACTTTGATCTAGACTACCTCACAGCAAAAATCTAGAAGGTGGGCCACAAACCACATATGTCCTTAGTGTTCTGCGTGAGGCTGGGAAGTCTCAGTTCACACTGAAGACAAAGGAAATAAATAACTATAATAAATAATCTACTGCAAATAAATTTCCCTTCTCAAAGGAGTGACTCACTAATTTGCCAGATAGGTCTCTTACAGATTTCTGTGGTTAATGCGATTTGCCTTGCTCGCCCCTCCAAAAATGGCAAGTTACATTTCCCTCTCCACCTCCTTTTTGCTGTCCTTTCTCCTTCCCAAGAGTCAAGGTTGTATACTTTGCATGTCCAAGATTTTTGAAAGGCTACATTGTCCTTTCTGCAGACACTGACTTGCCATGGAGGCTGTGCCTACATGAAAAAATACCTGCAGAATTTCACATGCCTACGAAACGCTTCCCAAGAACTTTGTCAGCTAACCCCTAATTAAAAAATACTAGGCTATGTGGGAAAGTCATACAGTATGTTACCTATCTGTGACCTCAAAGTAGATGTGTCTAGTTCAATAGGTCTCTGCCTAACTGAATTTATTGGACTGGGAAGAAACTGTGCAATTCCAAATCTTTATTTATTTTTCTTCCTTTTCGTATTACAGTTTATGCTGTATTTGCCTTTACCAGTGTAGTGAATCTAATAATTGGACTGGAACAGGATGGAATTATTGATGGATTCATGACTCATTATTTGAGAGAGGTAAACAATTGTTTGGCTACAAATGTAAAGAAAATCTTTACTATAAATAACTTGGTACAGTATTTGTCAGGGAAACAGCCACTTAGATATTCAAAAGGGTGTCCTTGAATTTTGCCATTGACCTGTTTCATCACTGGGCAAAACCTTTGCTGACCTGAAATCACTGACTCATTTGGGAAAACCAGCACGCCTATCTTTCAAGCTCCAGTGTTATTTTACTTGGTTTAAATAATACTGTTGTGTAGTAACTGCTGTGAGAATTGAACAGGCTGCACAGGTTTGCAGAAAGCCACAGATAGCACTCAGGGGTGGATGAGTACTGCAGTACCTCAATGTGTTACCAAAAGAGAAAGAAAATTGCTCCTTTATTTTTGCCTAATCACTTCACTAAAAGGAATTAAAGTAGAGTTAAAAAATGATCATGCCAGATACCTAGTCAGCAGGATTTGCTGGCTGCTGAATATCAACATCCACCAAAAATAGCTCAGTAAGAGGTTGATGTGAAAGTCACTGAAGGCATTGAAAAGATTCCATGAACTTTAGCTGAAATGAGTTGGATGTTACAAGGTTATACGTTGTCACCAATATATCCAATAGTGTTGTAGATCCCTAGGTCCCTAACGATACATTTAACATGGAATAAATAAAGGTATCTTCATTTTGTAGCTTTTATCACAAGAATATGGAAAAGTAATATTTCCATAATGTAGCAGAACAATGCTGACAGTTGTATATAGGAGTTTTCCCTTCCATCTTGCACCTTATTTTGCAACTGTAGAATTGATTTAATTATACCTGATACTAGCTAAATCAGGTTTGTGCTTTGAAGCATATGGAGTCATTCAAAAACTGTACCTCTGGATTGAAAGAACATCAGTTACTTTTCTGAAATAATTAATAAAGAACAGCAGGAAACTATTTGTAATCACTATCTTTTCAAAAATAAACGTTCCCTAGGGTGAACCATATCTGAACACTGCGTACGGCCACGTGATCTGCTACTGGGATGGCTCTGCTCATTATCTGATGTATCTGTTGATGGTAGCAGCTATTGCATGGGAGTAAGTCATGGTGATTTGTGTGCTACTTACTTTGCTTACATTCTCACATAACTTGTGCAGGGCTTGCTTTTCCGTGCAGCCTTTAGATTTTTCTTTCAGGACTGTTTCACATTTTAGGCCAAAGCAACGTGAAAACATTCATTACTTTCAGGAACTCTACCCTTACCAAGTTACCCTCTCTCTCAGCTCAATAAGCCCCACAAATGCACTGAGTTGTAGTCTGTTGTCCTCACTCTGCGGCAGAGAGCACAGCCCTTCTACGTGCTTTGTGTTAGTTAAAAGGAAAGCTTAAAGATGATGCACATTCAAACCATGTGTGGACCCTCCTTCCCCCCAAATAACAGAGATATGATAGGAATAATGTGTTGCTTAGCATGATAATGATCTCTCATCCATGTTAGAAAGTATCATGCAGTTTAAGAAAAAATGGTTATTTCTAGAGATTCTTACATTTGTTACTGTTGAATGAAGAGTTTGAGAAATACTGAAATTCCAGAGGCGAATCATAGAATCATTTAGTTTGGAAAGACTTTTAAGACCATCGAGTCCGACCATTGACCCAGCACTGCTCTGCACGTATCTGCTGGTAACAGAAGCATTAGCAGAATTAAATTATTAATTCTTTTATAGTCTTGTACAACCTGTGATGTGCAAAATCATGCAGTCACCCTGAAACGTCTGAATGAACCGCAAATAACAGTGTGCACAAATCCTGTACCACTCCCATGGTAACGTTCTCACATGTGCAAGTAGGATTTCTCCATACGCCTCTCTCAGAGGCAAGAATCCACTGTTGACTTGTGGTACGGATTTTAAAACCTTTACTTACCAAGATACAACCATGGCAATTAATATAACTTGAGGGTGATTTGGGGTTGGGGATTTTTAGGGACAGTGCAATGATTATGTCTTGTTTCCTTTTTTAAACAGACAAAGCTATAGAACCATTGGCCTCTACTGGCTAGGTTCCATTGTCATGAGCATCATTGTCTTTATGCCTGGAAACATTGTAGGTAAGGACATAATTTATGTGACTTTTCCCTGTGAAACATTTTCTAAATTCAGCATTAGGCTATCTGTATTTTACTGCAGTATTGGCTCCTCTCTTTAATAATATGAAAGAGTAATATCAGTAAAGAGATGTAAGATATTTTTAAATTTAAAAATGAGGAAGGGAAGATGGAGACCAGGAAGAAAAACGCCTTTACATTGCTCTTAAGAAAAAAAAAGTATTGTATTTTGTTATACTGATAAGGCTTTCATCCAAACTAGGTTTAATGTAAGCAATGAGACAATAGCTGTCTCTCAGTATCATAAAAATGTCTTATTTTGCATGAAATTTCCGATTTACTTAATAGACTGACTTTCAAGCAGGTTTACAAGAAGCATCCAAATCACCTTTAAAAGTGAAATCTGGAAGTTACTATATTTTCCTAATAACTTTAACATTCCTAGATTTCTAACATAAATCAGTGCATAGCTGTGCTGTTAGAGGTCGAGAACTGTAATAAAAAATTTTACATCATTATTACTGGCAGATGGCCCTTTAAGAGTGCCAGCCCCCTCAATTAAAGATTTCCTTTTTAGCAAAGCTTAAATCGATGCAGTTGACAAAAATGTTTGGGTGCCAAATGCTCTGCTTAGCTTTAGAAAAGCTTGCTTTGGCCCTGCTTTTTATGACACAGGAGGAGCATTCATAGTGCAGCCAGGAGCCAAGTCCAGTTCTCTCTGTGGATAACACATGCTCCACAGAGGAAAGAGCAGATCTGATGTGACAATCTTTCTTCCTCTTTCCTCTAGGGAAGGCTGAGGGATCTTGTTCTCAAGAGCATGCCTTCTGCCTTCCTTTCTGACAGAAAGTAGCCAGTATAAATGACAGATTTTCCCAATTTACTTGGGTTGAGGATAGCTCTCTGAATTTATGTTTTGCCCTCAAATCTTAGTACAGGCCTGCCAAAGAAGTCAGAGTTTAGGTAAATGAATGGATACATTCCTTTCTTCCATTTCTTTAAAGAACCATGTCTCTATTTGAAGCAGGTTCTATTAGGACATTTCAAAGCTGTCCCATTCTATAGAATTACCTACCACAGCGTGACAGGTTTTTTCCTCTCCCCTAAAAGATGCCCAAATATCCAAAACAGCTTCTTGTCACCTGTGACTCTACCACCTTTGAGCACAGGATTTTCAACAAGATTTGTGTGTTGTTTTAACAGCGATTTTTGATATTTTATAATGTTTACCTTACCAGAGTTGCTTTAAGTTTGGTATTGCATGGGATATTTTACTGTTCTGCAACACAGCTCATACATCTTACCATTATTTTTTTAACAGGCAAATATGGAACAAAAGTGTGTCCTGCTTTTTTCTTAAGTATACCATATATCTGCCTTCCCATATGGGCTGGGTTCCGAATTTATAACCAACCTTCGGTGACTCACGACACTCCAGTCAAGGTAGTGTTATTGTGTTTAAGCGTGGGCTACTGTTAGGGGAACTGAAATACACTTGCTGTTTCTCCTGAGTTTTACAGGCCCCTCGGCGAGCATGGAATGTACTGTAACTTGTCACTGTTGTGACAATTGCTGCCGGGCTGTGTAGACACTGTAAAAATATCTATATGGCAAGACCACTTCATTACAGCAGGATAAAGAAAAAGGAAAAAAAAAAAAATCTCATGTTTAAAGAACACATTTCTAGGTGTAATTGTGTTGCTAACATCTATCTATTCAGTTTCCGAGTGTTTCAGTTTTTTAACTGATGAAAATATCGACGTATATCAGCTTTGTAAAGCACCACAAAATCCTTATAGAAGCTCTGCAGGGAAGTATTCTGCAGATGGCTTACAGATTTAATGTAATTTAATACATTTTTATATGTGCATGCTGCAATATTAGAATTTACAGGTAAAACACTGCACATTAATAGATATGAAAATTATTTAGACTTATTAAAAAAATCTTTAAAAATAATATTTACTTAAAACTCCTTAGACCTTTGCGTTTAAATTTAATAGTTGGGCTGTAAAAAGATTGACTGAGCAATCAAAAAGTGCAATAATAGTTTTTGCAGTGTTTTATAGATAAAAAAATATATTTTAAAAAAGCCCTGCAGTACAAAGCACAGAACAGATCTTTACCTCTGTGTTGCCATAAGCAAACCAGTTTATTGCCACAGCACACTGTATCAGCTGTAACATAATCAATTAATGTTTTTGCGTCACAAGAGGTCCTGAGTCAGGTCCATTCAGCCACTGCAGACAGAGACAGCTGACGGAGCTCGTTCCTGCTCCACAGCGAACAGGGCGGCAGCGTGCGAGCCACAGAGCCTGTGGCACAGAATGCAGCAGGTGATGCACTCACAGATTTTCCCAGAAACATACGAAAGATAACACTCAGCCATCAATCCACGATTCTTCAGTAGGAAAGCGAGGTAGAGACAGATACTTACGTCTCCTAAAGTTTGAAGGACCACTACAGAATCACCACTTCTACAGCAAATACCTGTGACAGGCCCAGGTGCCAAAACCTCCTCTACCGTCCTGCACAGGCTTATAGAAAACCACATGTCCCGTCCCAAAGCAATTTGAGCTGATTTACTTAAAAGCATCACTCATTCTGTTCAGAAACACATTCTTCAGACATCTGGATAGAGAAGTTACATGTAGTTAACAGGAGCAATGGTTATTTTTGAGATTATATATATAGATATATATGTGAGAACGTCCTTTGCATGGAGGATGGATGAAGGTTTCAGTTTGTTTTCCTAGCGCTGAGAATACCACAGAAATTGCATTATAGAAAATATGTGACGGACTGCTTATTTGCTGAAATACAGACATGTGTCCTATGCTTATCAGGAATGAAACTGCTTACCTAGGTTTGAAATTTTACTTTGGTACGTGTTGTAGAGAAACTTAGTTTTAAAATCCTATTGCAAAAAGAGTGGATAAAAGTCTAGTGATCTGAAAATTTAACACTGCTCTTATTAGTGAATCCTTTCTTGAAAACCTAAAATTCCTTGCTCAGAAGATCATAGAATAAGCCTTCATTCCTTTCACTGATGCCTCCTACCCTTTCCGAGTAGTTTTTTTTTTTTTAGAAGTTTTTCTTTTTTTAATCTTCACAGCTAATATATGCCTTATATCTGAGCTTAAATACCCCGGTTCAATAACTGTATACCTTAAAATACCTTTAAATCTTGACACGACTACTCATGGATTTTTCTTACTTTTTATACAACTCAGTTTGAAATTAAGAGTTGTTTCCAGGAAATGATTGTGTGTAAAGCTACTAATCAGCTAGCTTATCATTGTAAATCTAGATTTTATTTTTCCAACAGATCATTTGCAATTAGCTGTGAAATTGAACTTTTTTTAGCTATCATTATTCAGAGTTGGTATTGAAAGATTTGGGAAGAAAATGCAGTGATGCTTTTTGACATGATAGTGCAAATATATAGAAAAATACATACACAAAAGTAATGTAAGCAAGGTATACTGTGTTGGCAAAGATATTCATTGCTATATTACTATAAACCAGTTAAAAGAAAAAGTCACTATGGGGACAGGACAGAGAAGTGGTAATAAAGTTTTGAGTGTGAGAGAGGAAGAGTTAAATCGTCATTTAGAATCCAACAAAGCTGTGCTGCAGCTTTTGCAAAGCCCAGCAGATTTACCCACAAGTTTATCAGCTCAGAAAAGTCTAATGTAATTTAAAATTCATTAACAGAATTAATACAGATAAGCTCAGATTTGCACATGCATTCTGAAGGGACTGGCGTCTATGGACGGCACACAAGATTATTCCGATTCCTTAAAACTGATCATGCAAGCAGCCTCTCAGAAGTTATGGAAAATACCTTTTTCCAGGAAGGGAGAGAAACTGCAAAGCGTGCCTACACACTTCCTTGCTACACAAAAGAACCAGCAGGGCTGGCAAGATCTGTGCACCGTTCAGTGTTGTTTGCAATAAACGGGAAACCTCTGGCGGGTCATCTCTACCCTGCCAGTGTACTTAACACGTAATTCCTTTTAACCTGTATTTATGTGACCTTGCTGTGTAAAAGAACGGTAAAGCAAATCTACTGTGTAGCTGAGGTCAGCAAAAGACATATAGTCTTTCAAAATATTTTTCTTTGAAACTTTGCATTTTCATTTTATTTGCATGAAGATATATAGAAAAAAAGGTGCGAGTTTCCTGTGCCTTGGCAATTTCATGAAATCGTACTGCACCAAGGGTCGTTTCCACTAATACTGGTTGTCTCCAAAACCTCTCGAGTACAAAGTTCTGTTGTAGCTTTGTGATCACAGTAAACATGCAGGTTAATTGAACAAATCTTTTGAAAGGAGGAGTGATACACACACATATAAGCTTCATACTTAGTCACAACTGGAAAGAAAATCTCAAATGTGCCATTGTCTTTAGGTAATGATTTTAGGAAAATGATTTGCAACTCAGCAGCCATGAGGGGCCTTTTTCTTTTGTAGGAATAGATATTAGAATATAGACATTCCTTGCAGAGAATATAAACATTCCTACTCAAGTGCTTTAAATACTGTGAAGTGACACACCATATTGCCAAAAACAGACCTGCTACTTGTGTTTGAAAACCAAACGTGTGTCACTTTTTTCAGAAAAAGATTCTTTACAAGAAAAGAAATAGTTTTATGAAATGGATGGCCTACATGTTTCAAGTAGCCGTATTTTTGTTAAATTACAATTCAGATCTTGCAGTTCTTACCTGGGAAGTGTGCTTGCAAGATCAGTTCTCCTGTTTGAAGAACTGTGCCTCTACATCCTAATTATTGTTCTGTGGTTTGGAGACAATTCCACAAGTGTATAACAGGAAGGAAATCAGGTTTTTCTTTTGCTGTCTGCATGCCAACACACAGCTAATAAAAAGGAAGAGGAAATGAGTAACACATAAAAATGGAGAAGTTTTCCCTCTGAACTACAGAGGGATACTCAGATGTGCTTATAATTTTGTCTGTGACTACACCATGTGGAAAGTGTACCTCCAGTTATTTGCACGGGTCTTGCAAGTTTTACCACGTAGGCAAAGCCATGACTGTGGTTCCTCCAACCCATCTTCCATGCGAGGGATCAAAACGACCTTTGCTACCGCAGAATGCGAACCCCTTGTCTCTGCCCGTGTGGTGCGGGGGGGATGGATTCCTGTTCCGAGGCTGAGGAAGAGATGTATGGAACAGATCAGATGCAGATGCCAAGTGCTTCAGTGCCCATCAGAGGAATCCACAGCACACAGTAATAAAAGAACGTTAAAAGGATTTTCCGCATGCTCCATGCACACACAGACACACACATTTCATTCTCTATTTCCGTGTGACATACTAAGACACGTGATTTGCTCACTGAACTCCGAGAACTCAGCTGGCCACAGAAAAGCTTTTATTTTATGCCAGTGATATTCCATTCATGTCAATAGCATCACAGGCTGCTGAAAACCAGCATATTCACTGTCAATAATAAGATGGACCCTCATCTTTCTATCCTTCCAAACGGTCCTTGTACAAAGTGTTTTAGATTCAACTTCAAATGACTGAGGCAAACCTACATTTCCAAAGACTTTCTACACAGGGATACTCAAGAAAATTAATTCACTCCAATTAACAAAATATGCAACTTTGACGTTAGTCACGATGCTTTAAAGCCTTACATGATTGCAGGGTTAGAGCAGCATTCACTTGATTCTGGTTGCTTTGACTCTGTATTGAAGCAGCTTTAGTTGGATCCAGCCATTTCTAGAGTTTATTCAGATTAATTTTCCTCCCTGCATCCTATAAAGAATGAAGTCACCTTTTTAGATGTGGAAGTCCTTCTGCTTCTGAAATCAGTGGATAAATAAAGTAATGTAACTGAGAACTAACTGCACGTATCATAACGTTTCACCACTTCACCCTTCTTGTCGCAAGGGACTGATCTGGAGTTAAATGTGTCACGTGGAACCAGGATGTACGCACTAAACATGTTCTGTGTTGCAGGTGGTTCAGGAAGTCCAGAAGAAAGGACTCTTAAGACGACCAATAGATTTAATGTTAGCTGCATACCTCATTCTAGCAATGGGGTTTTGCATATTTAGAGGCATGGTAAGTTCAAGTTATTTTAATATTCTGGCCTCTAATTTTCAGTCAGGCTTTTAAATTTGAAATCATTGTGTCTGTATGAAAGAAGCGTATACATTTTGGTCAAGGGAAATCCTGTGACTTTCAGGGTTGAAATAGGCCTTAGATATAAAAAAGACAAATTGATTATTTATCAGTGATGTTTGCCTTCTCCATTTTGCCCCGTGTAAAGTACAATCACAAGAGTAAATATCATCCCAAGTACAGATCACAGAATCATTCAGGTTGGAAAAGACCCTTGGGATCATCAAGTCCAACATTAACCCTGCTCTACAAAGCTCACCCCTAAACCATCGCCCCCAACACCACATGTAAACGACCTTTAAACACATCCAGGGATGGTGACTCAACCACCTCCCTGGGCAGCACATGACCTAAAACTCTTTTCATTGGTCTGGTGTTACATTTATGGCCAAGAGCATGGAGACACACTAACTACATTCTGGCTTCATGTTTTTCTAAACAGAGATGCATAGTTAAAATTATATAGGAAACAAAATTAATTTCCACTACATGAGAGAGAGAGGGGAATATTTCCACTTGGGAGAAAAAAAAGAAGATTTATTCCCATTACCTGTACAACACATGTTGTTTCTACTTACCATGAGCTGATCTTTTTTTTTAACTATGATTGCTTTTTAAGGATAGTTGATTGAATTAAAATTTCTGAGGGAATGAATCAGTACTGAAAATGCTTGAAGTAGATAAATCCAGTAGTAGGTTAATCTAGTCCTTTGTCAGCTCTAAAGCATTTTCTGTCTTAAACAGAAGCTGTGTATCATTCCGTGAACAAAGCTCAAACATTTGGGTATCTTAGATAACCGCCTCATTGCTTGATTTATAGATCTGATCCTGTCTAGATTAATTCAAGTAAGAGGTGATGTTAAGTACCCAAACAACATGTTACTTATCAGATTGTCCTTCTGTAGTTCTGCTGCTCACATTACTCTGTCATCTTCTGCCATTTCTCTGAAAACTTGCCTCTCAAAAATTGTTTTTTTTTTTCTTCTAACTTGTCACAGACTGCTTTATTTCTTATTGATCATACTACCTCAGAGCATCACTGATGTGGGTTAATCAGCTGTTTCACATGCAATTTTGATGCAGGAAGTGTTAATCTCACACTCTAACATTTAACTTGGTTCTGCAATCCTACTTCTTCATTTCTCAGAATTTTTTTTTTGTTGAGAATGTGATCATTTCCTTTACCAAACAAGAACGGCTCACTGGCCTTACTTCTACATACAGAGATGAACTGAACATCTCTGTGTAAGCTGCAGTAATCACGGTTTGGTGAAAAAGCTAACAGAACACAATCCATTACAGTCCACTTACACCTGCTTCTTGAATGCTCATGTTGGAAAAACACAGAAATTTCCACTCCTTGTAAATCTTTGCATTTCCCCCTCAAAGTCACACAACAAATACACATGAAATTAAGTTGTGCAAAACCTGCTGTTCATTCCTCTAACTTGGGCATTAATGATGCCTCACCAAACCCCACTTAGTGACAGCTGTTGACACTGATTGCTATCTCACTTTAGAATAGTATTTTTTGCAGTAGTTTTCAGGGCTACTAGAAAAAGGAACTCCTTTTACAACTGTGTCTCTCTTTGTGTTTGTGGGGAACTTTGTTCTTTCTATAGGAATGTAAAGCCCAATAACCTCACCTTTGCTACTCTCTTTTTGAAATTATTAAGTAATGTCCCTTGATTGCTATCTCACTTTAGAATAGTATTTTTTGCAGTAGTTTTCAGGGCTACTAGAAAAAGGAACTCCTTTTACAACTGTGTCTCTCTTTGTGTTTGTGGGGAACTTTGTTCTTTCTATAGGAATGTAAAGCCCAATAATCTCACCTTTACTTAATAATTTCAAAAAGAGAGTAGCAATGTCCCTCTGCATCGCTCTCCACTGCTACCTTGTCACAATGCAACTCTCTTCTTGGACTCCATTCATAGCTTGCTGTCCTAAAATTGGGTGCTTGAGCAATTTTCCATTGGAACGTTCATTTGCTGGGATCAAAGTCTGTTACCAGAGCAAATCAATAGCAATTATACTTTTACTAGAGCATAGCCAACTGACTGAATTCTCTTCCAGTCAAAATCTTTAAAGTGGGCTGTCAGCACAAACCCTCTGAGCAGGAGCTGGGAGGAGGCTGCATTTTAGCTTTTTAATCGGTGATCAAGTGGATCACCTTTGCAGTAGACTTCAAGCAAGCCTCCAGGGTAGCAGTGCTTCAGACCACTAGGCAATCTTTAGGACTGGTAAAAGGTGTCAGGTTAGCTCATTTTAGAACAGATTCTTTGTTCACGGGAAGTTTTAAAAATTCTTCTTAGATTGCTCTGGATTCTGCTGACCTCTGCCGGCTATATATTCAACTTCACGAGCCTTATATAAAAGATCCTGCTGCCTATCCTAAGCTTCAGGTAAAGCATTGACTGTGGAGCATAGAGTGTTAAGAAGTGGTTTGTTAAATGGTGTAAAGAGGAAGCCGTGGGTTTCACAGATGACAAGATCAATAAGGGAAGCATTTGTTCATGGCAAGTTAAACGGTATTGCCTATTTTCTCCTACAGCCATTACAGGGCACCAGCTCTTCATTGTGATAAACTTAGATTCAAATCTATTATCTAGTTACGCATCCTAATTACTCAGGCTTCTTTTAATATAGTCCATGAAACAGATCTGCGTGCTTTTAATGAACATTCCCCTCCCTTAGAACAGCAAAGTAGATTTTCACCCTGGAATAATGGAACAAAAAGGGGCATAGGAGATTCCTTAAACTCATGTTATGCTTCTGTCACCAGTGACACACTCATCAAAACAAAACACTTTACAAACCCTGTTGACACCAGCATTGCAGCAGAGGGAAAGTTGTGCTTTAGCTTTGCAGTATTTGCAAATGTCGCCGTCCTTTTGCAGCCCTGGCTGCTGTGTGGGCACAGGGCCTGAGGCAGTAAGAGGACTTGCAAGTGAGGCAGTGAGCAGGAACCCAGGGTCTCTGCTAGACTGCTCGTTCTTGGGAAGGGGTGGCCTGGGTTACCCCTCACCTCCCAAACGAAAGCACAACAGAGCTGGAGAGATGGACACCTGTGTCGTGTTGGATAGCGAGTTAGGTCAAGCCGTGCTTACTGGCATGGGCTCGAGAGGGCAAGGGGGAGGAAGACATGTCCTGGGACGAATTGGATTTGGATGGGGCGAAGAGGAAACAGTATTAGTGGAGGCCTTAGGATACCTGGGTCCAGCCAACAGCATCCAGGCGTGAAACTTTTCTCAAAGCAGTTATAGCTGCAAAAATGCCTGGGAATGATTGCTGCTTGGAGTGTAGTTTTGAGTAGTCTTAACCCCTCAGTCAGCAGCTGGCTGATTTTTAAATGCACCTCCCTCACACTGCAAAGTAACTAATATTTCTGTTTAAAATGCAGATGCTGACGTACATGTTCTACTCTGTGCCATACTACGTGATTGCTCTGTATGGCCTACTGGTGCCTGGCTGTTCCTGGATGCCTGATTTAACCCTTATACATGCTGGAGGACTAGCTCAGGTATTTCTTTGTAAAATGTTCACTCTTGAATTACAAGTTAATAAGCAGGGATTATGGAATACATAAGGGGACCAGGGCTTGATCTGCCCATGCAGGTTTTATGCCGTTGTACCTCAGATAACCTTTTGAATCTGTCCTTTAAAGGAGTGGAGAATCAAACCTATTGCGTATTTCTAATGGCTGCATTCTTGCTTTAGTAGACCTGATCTAGTTGAGAGGCGTCCCTGCCCATGACAGGGAGGTTGGATTAGATGATCTCTAAGGTCCCTTCCAGCCTAGGCCATTCTATGATTCTATGATTCTGCAGAATCTTTTTACTGGGCTGTTTAAACATTATTAAGCACCATGCACTTTTCAGCTGAGACCATGAAGGAAGCCTGTCTTGAAAGCTGTAACAGCCAGCCACGTCAAAAAAACCACAAAGAGACCAACAAACCCAAACACAACAAAACAGTACAATACATTGTTTCCATAATATATGTCAGCCAGCTAGGTAGTTTGAAAAGTAAGTGTAAAAAGTATCTACTAGTCAAACAATATCAGTTGATGATGTTCATGTAACACTGGGAACCTCCTGGGCCACAAACCACAGTAACTCTTGACATGCTTGTGTCACCAAAGGCAGACCAAGGATCATACTTGCTTAAGTCATTCTGTTCTGATTCTTTAAATAGGCAACTGTAGTTAATTACTATATGGTGCTGATGCTTATGAGAAGACTGACTGAAACAAAAAACCTCAACAGGAACTAGTAAATGACTTTTCCTGACATATGGGTGACCATCAAACAGTTGAGACAGAGTGACAATTGATTTGTACTGCAGCTAGGAAATGATTGTGTCCTGAGCATCCAGACACCGCAGAAAATACACACATAATCCTGCAACAATAATGAGAACATAGGGACTTGGCAGTGAGCGTAATTCAGGTGCCACTATTAGGCAAACATAGACCACCACTTTGTTCCTCAGGCCCGAGATAATCACCGATACAAATGACAGTCCAGCGTAACTGCCCAGTAAGAATGAGGGGAGTGACATTTTATTTTCCAATTGTGAACAGCTATCACAGAGAATATCACTTTTTAGAGAGTCTTGAATTATCTGGCAAAAATATTAATGAGGAGGTTTAGATGCTCAAAAGATATCCTAAATATTGTACAACTCTGTGTGGCCCAAATTAATCTTAAAAGGAAAGGAAAAAAGAAAAAAGAAAAAAAAAAAAAAAGGCAAGCAAGCACAAGCTAGCTAAAGCAGGCCAGCCAGTGTCAGGAACCTTTCTCTCCTGACAGATTACTCAGGTTTCATGAATTCCCCAGTCAGGAAAGAAACCACTCCTTCAGAGATTATTTAGCACAAGAAAAAGTAAATCAGAAGCCAGAGAGTGCTATTACAGTCTTGCAAACTTACGAAAAAGCTCAGCCTCCCAGACCAGAGGCTATTTTCGGTCGGTTGGTGGTTTTCTGTTTGTTCCCCCTGCTCTGCCCCTTTAAATGTTTCCCATAACAAACACCTTTTTTTCAATGGCACTTTGTAACTTTTAGCTGTATGATTATATACATGCAACATTTTGTTGCTGAAGTCTAAAAGCCCTGTTATCCCTTGTATAAATTAGCATTACTGTGAAGCCCAACCACATCCGACAAGAAGAAAAGCTACTGGTAACCCAAAGCTAACACTCAAAATTTCCCATTTTAAAAGCTTGTTCTTGGCACAAGCAAAAACCGTGGGCTGACAAAACCTAACTAAGAATTCTATGTTGCTGCACACTCCCCACATTTCCTGATTCAAAAAAACCAGTAAAGTTTAGGAGGGTTTTTTTGGTAGTTTTTATGTTAATGCACTCAGAATGAACTTCAGTCAACCCACAGATGAATGTGTTTAATTGATTTGACTTGGGGAATGGTGAGCAACCAAAAAAACACACAAACAAAAAGCATATGACAACGAAAGGAGGACTCCTGTATTTTTTGGTTTTGGTCATTTTGAAGCACAAACCACATTTCCAGGTTTGTCCACTGTTCTCTCAAGTTAAAACATTGTAATTAATAATTAAAACATATGTAGTGACTGAAACACATTTTGCTTTATCATGCACAACGGCCCAATAAAAGTAAGTATCAAGTGATGGAGAGATGGGGCATTGCTCCCTGGGAACGAACACTGCTCCTACAGAAGGGAATGTGAAGTTTTTAATTATTTTTATTTCTGTCATTATGAAGTATGTACCTTTTAAAACAACAAGTCTCAAAATACCATGCTATGCATTTAAAAAGTGTCTCACCTTTCATGCAAAGAGAAATATTTACTGGTTTTCGGAATTACGTAGAGCTCAGCTTGAATTATTCCATTACTAACACTCAAACTTCAAACCCAGGTCGTGACCCTTATGAGACATCTGAAGCTTCAGAAAAGCTCTTTGAGTATCACATGACTACAGTACAGGAGCTCTGATGATACAAAAGGGTTGAAATAGCATCTGAACTTGATTAAATCGCTATTTCCCTGTGCTAGTGAGCCACATGAGAAGGGATGAAGAACTTCAGCCCATTCTGTCTGTCTCACCAGCTCTTCTTAGGCCGTTACTATATGTACATGTAGAAAGTTTTGGTCTACTTCTCTATCAAAGTGTTTTCCTTAATCCTGTGATTTTTGGTGGCTGGTTTCTGCAGTGCCTCTTGTCTGCAAGAGAACCTAAACTCAAGGAACATATTTTTCTAGGTTATGCTCTCCCCACTCTATTTGATGGCTTTCCTTAGCCTCCTAAGACCTGGTCCAAACCCTTCAAAGTAAGCTAGTCTTTGCCAGATTTTAGTCAGTTTTAGAAAGACAGCACAGAGTGAAGGACTCTTGACCTTTTTCCAGTTCTTCCTCTGTCCCTAGCCGGAGGGATTTCTTGACTGCTAGGTAAGAAACACTGGAAGTATTGCCTATGAATAGGCTACAGGCAAAAATATTGTAAAGAACAATCCAAACCCAAACCATTTCACACAGAGAAGCAGCTTAGTGAGTAGCAGGCAAACACAAATTGCAGTTGTCACGTTGAGCAGTACCATATCCAGCACCAGGTGGCTTCCAATTGCTGTGGGATGGCTGCATCAGCCGAGTAACCCAGGCTTCGAGGTTAACAAAGGCTGTATGTTAAACAGATAAGGCTGCCTTACAAGTTTACCTGCAGCACCTCATTTAGTTGATTTCTCAGCCAAAGTTTAGGGGTTTGCTGCTCAAAATTCTCCACTTAGAGAGGGTTAAACAACAGAAAGCACCAAGGAGGTGCTTATTTGCTGGAAGAAATTGATCAGGCAAGGCAACAGACTCAGGGTTGCTCTCACAGCAGTGCCAGCTGATTGTACAACAGGCACAGAGACCCAACATAACTAACAGCTCTTCTCTTACTGCTTAAAATTACGGATTTGGTCTAAGTGTGCCTGATACCTGAAAGAAGAGCAGGACTGGGCTACTGGTGAGCGAGCAATCTGCTTTTAAGACACACTCCTTGCTCCAAGGGAGAAAAACAAACAAGGGGAAAAAACGTCAAACAAACAAACAGCAGAAGCAGAGTACGGTCATGGAAAGGAAACACATGAGATTAAAAGACATAACACAACTTTCACAGAGGCAAATCAAGTTAAAAAAATTGACTTTAACAGACCTTAATATCCTCTCTGATAATGAAAGTAAAGTTATATTGAAAACCAAGTCTAATAAGCAGTAACTTCATTATACAGTTCATTATTATCTTGTAACAATCTTCATGGGCTACAAACATAAAAAAAAACATTTCTGCTTTTTCTTTTTATAATGCTCAAAGCTCACTAATGGGCCACAATTCTGAGACAAGACCACACAATAAGGCTTAGAATCTTCAAAGGCATTTAGGACGCTGGGGGAGTTCTGGGTCTCTCAGAAGCAGCCCTTACAGCTCTTTCTGACACAGCTTCATGAATTCACTACCAACTTACTGTGATGCACAGCTGGCTGCTTTTAGGAGACAGGCAGTTCCTGCGCTCCTCCATAGAGGAGCAGGTAGCTTAGCATCTCGTTCACCTCAGAAGAGGCTCTAAAATACCCCCAGAACGCTGTTAGTGTCTACACAAACACCAGACAGACCTCAGGCTCCTACCTGAAGCCTGTTGGTGCCTGGCCGGCGGCTTGGGAAACCGATGCTGCCTCATCTCATGAGAGGATTTTGCCGCTGAGCACTAGTGCTGCGGCTGCTGGGGCCGAGCTGGCTCCCAAGGCAAGGAAAGGCAGCCGGGAGCCCAACCCCAAACCCCCAGGTGCCCAAGGCAGCTCCTACCTGAGACACGTAGGAACAAGGAGGCTGCAGGAGACAGGCTGAATGATGAGGCCAATATAAAAAGGCTGCTGATAGTGTGCCCCTGAACATCTGTTTACTGTTGAATAGCTATTTACAGACACAGGCTAAGTGGCACTCTGCTGAAGTGTGTTTCTATTTGATTTCTTTGATTACCCCGTTTCCTGACTCAGGTTTGCTAGATCAGTTCTCCCTATTCAGTGGAGGTGGTTGGAATCACCTGAGAACCAATTTCCTTTTCTGTTCAATGTATGGTCTCAGCCTAAGCTTTCGCTAGAGGGGTGTGTATTAAAACACCTGCACTGCTATTTCACTTTCTGCTTTGCTAACTGTGAACAGAACTGTGTTCTTTGTGAGTTCAAAATATTGAAGCCAGAACAGAGGACGTGATCTGGCCACAGTGTACTACTCCAAGTTACTAAAATCCTGGTGTCCCTTTCTCCTGCTCTGCTTAGGATGAAATTGATGTTTAGCTTCTCAGATTTCCTCCACTGCTAACTAATAAAAAAAAAAGTGGACACACAATAGTTAACGTGAATGAGCTGTGGCTTGAAATAGCAGGTAACAGATGGAGACAAAAGACAGTGACTACCCTGAGCTTCTATCTTTAAATGTTTGTTTACACTAAAAATACACTTCAGCCCACAAGCATGTCTTTGTGTATAACCTTCACTGTAAACTTAACCTATGCTTCAGAACCACCCCCAGCCAAAAAGCCAACAATTGCAGATGTTCTCAGAAATGATCAGGAGTTCTGGGATCAGAATCTGGAAGACTGGGGTTAAGATTAAAAGAACCAACCAAACCAAACAGAACTAAGTTAGCTTCCAAGGTTTCCGTTTCTCACTTTAGTCAGAGTGAGCGAGTGTCCGTCTGCTTCCTGTTGACGCCAAACCCAACGTTGGCAGGCAGGTGGGTGCGAGTTCCACCCCTGCTACTGGGCTGAGGCTCAGGAGTGCAGGTCCCTGCGGGGATGCATGCTCCAGCGGGCGTCTGCCTGGGGAGGGATCGTGGACCCTGTTGCATGAACAATCCCCTGTAAGCCAAGGGTGAAATCCTGCACCCGATGTACAGATCAGTGCCACCATGTGCATAAAATAAACCTCATACTATGCCACTAATGGTTTATGCCTCTTATACCAAGATATGAGCTTATTTTAGACTGTATTTTTATGCCACTGTGCCAAAGTAAGATGGACTAAGAGGGCTGGCTTGGAAAATGTCGCTGGAGATGCATACTTGCATGCAGATTATGCTGTCTTTCCAAAATATACATCAACTTTACTTTTCGTTAATATATACATTATATACACACCACAGGCTCAGTTTTCCCATATCGGTGCTTCTCTTCATGCTCGAACTCCTTACATCTACAGAGTCCCTGAAGAAGCAAAACAGTTTTTCCTGATACTGAACGTAATGTATGGGATTCTTCCCCAACTGCTGGCTTACAGGTGTGTAAACAGGCCAGAGTTTTTTATGAAACCGAAACAAGAAGAAAAAACAGAATAGCACAACTGTTTTCAGCTCTTCTTTTTGGCTATGTATATAACTGGGTTGGGATGTAATTGAACTGCTCAATGGGAACCCAAATGAAGTGTGCAGGATGTGTAAAGTTGCACAACTGTGTAAAGCTGCACGGTCTGTTTTGTTTATCCTACTCAAAAAGGGAAAATAAAGACGACTGCCTTCAGTACCACCTCTCAACATTTTGACTTTGTGCTGCAGTGGAGCTGCTACTTCCAATAGCTATTTTTAAGTAAGCTGCTTTGACAGTTTTAGAATTACTGCATGAAGTTAAATAATAATAATGATGTCAGTGTTTAGCCTCCACACTGAAGGATATCAGTGCTGGCAATCCCTATACAGAGCTACTGTAGAATGCAAAGGTCAACATTTTGAAGTGTGAAAAATTAACATACATAACTCTGTCACATGCACATGTTTTATTTGTCAAAAAGTATGTCTTGTGGGTCAGCCTTGTTAAAAATCCCAAGAAATCTTTTAAGAAGCAATCAACCCTTACGGTAAGACTCCATATATAATAAGCAAATAGAGTTTTGTTAATTCTTCTAAGGATTCACTTCTGCAAGGACTGCTCCTCAGTTTGAAGTTAAGCACGTGCTTTCTAGCACTTCAGAATTGGGCACAGAGGGCTCGTTACCTTGAACACTCAGGCCTCACGCAGCCGCACGCATTTTCAGAGAGGAGGGGGTTTGGGCTGCGTTCTCCTCTGCAGCTACTTTTCCTAATGCTGCTGAGTCATAAGCAAGTAGCAGCAAATACAGCGACCTTGGTTTGTGCAGTTTATGCTTTTTTCTGCAATTATGACTATTTCTGTGCCTTCTACTGTGCATTTATAGTAAACCCAGTGCGCTTGGTGCCTATCTCACAGGTGAAACTACCTGATACATTTTAACTGGAAACACGTTACTCTGGGATGTTGACTTTCGGGTGTTTTGATTTAGAGAATTTCCATTTTCTTTTTAAACCTAATCAGGAACAAGAAAGGATTGCCTCCTGTGCATGCATGTTGCACCCTGCACAAGGGGACTCCCAGAGCAGCAAGAAATTCGTGCTTTAATATTCTCCCGCTGAACACTGGGCTGCAGTTCACAGCAGTGCTCGGGAGAGAGAACCTGCGGTTTTACACCTCCAGCCAAAGGGGCAGGTCCAAAATAACCACAACACATCTCAGTCAATGCTTCTCGGCAAAACAGAACTTAGCAGTGATGTCCTCCAGCACCCAGCCTCCCTGGAGTGGGCTCTTCCATGTGCGCTAGAGTTGGGGATAACTCCCTCCCAGTGACACCAGAGCTGCTGGGCTGCAACAGCACGTGCTGGAGCACAGAGCGGAATCTGAGCCGCCGATGTTACTTCTAATATTCTTAAAGAAACTTTGAATACATTCAAGGTGAATTTAATAACCTCCCGTTATCCAGAAAAGGCAAAGTACAGAAAAAAATAAAGATCTCACCTGCACTTGTATCTATTATGGTCAACTCATGTTAACAGAATGTTTTGCTTTAATACTTGACTTACATTAATACCTCACATTATTACACGTATGAAGCCAAATATGACGCTAACTTAGTTGCTTACAACCTCAAACCTTACTCCCAATACACATTCCAATAAATTTATTCTGTAAAAACAATACATTTTTTGTTTTCTTTTTGTTTTCTTTTTTTGTTTTTTTTTGTTGTGTTTTTTTTGTTTGTTTTTTACAGTAAACTCATCAACTACAAACCTTGAATACGCAAAAGATGTTCCAAGGACAAGCATAACAAGGATTGATAAAACCAGACTAAATATGTTTTCACAATAAAAGCTGGCATAAAAATAAATAAAAATCTCTATTATCACAATAGCAACAATAATGTACACAGAATAATGGATCTGGAATGCTTACTTACTAGTCTAGTTCTATTTCCAAAAGGAAAAAAAAAAGCCAGAATGACAGCATCCTTTTTTAAGCCTTTCATTGTTTAAAATTGATGTTTTCTTTTGGTTTCCCATAGGGTTCTGTATCACAGTAAGCTTAAAAATGGAAAGCATCCAAATGAATGATTTCAAATTGTGTTGGCATTGGAAAAAATCCTTGTATTAATCTAAAGAAACACAAAAAGACTTTCACTAACTCCACATATAGGAACTAAGTCAGATAGTGTACATTACATCATGATTTTGAGAAGTATTAAGAGTATAACTAGCTAGGTACTTCTAAGAAGGAAAGGTATTTTATTACATTATTGAACTTGGCGGTGATCTCAACTGAAGAAGAATTTTTCTTTTATGTTTTAAACTGATTGAAAATCAAGAAAGTATGGATATAGGGAAATTTAAAATTATGTTTGTACGTGGAAGATATTGTAGTATTCTATGGAGGGGACTCATTTCTAAGATTTACTTGCTCTTAAAAATGCTGATTTAGAATGATATAATTTGGAGTTACACCTTTTCTGTCTAGAAAAGGACTCTAAAACATGTTCAAGTATGTGATATCTTCATAAACCTCAGCCACTGGTAAAGGGCAACTTCATGCAACCAAATAATATGAAAATCAAAAAGTAACCCTTAGAAAAAAGGGTAAAATGTAATTTCTGCAAACACAACAGATAGGAATGTGAATAATGTGCATACAAACTGGGATGCTGTTGATGATACTAATGAACAGATGTGGTGACTCATATCAAATCCAAGAATATTAGACAACCAAACATGTAACCTTCTTGTGTTTTCCCTTAATATTCAGCAGTCATTATGTTGGTTAAGTCTGAAAGAGAGAGAGAGAGAGAAATCACATTTAATATAAGAAAAAGCATGTGGCAACAAGCTGGATATAATTAATGCCTTATTCCCACACTTCAAAGTCACAGGTACAAATAACCACCTGGGCTGTTCAAACAGAGATCTTATTCTAGAGAAACCTGCTTATGTTACATCAACTAAACGTACTGCTGCAAAATATTAAAGAACACAGCTTAAAGGTAAACATTTAGGGCTTTATTCACATAAGCAGCTCCAGTCACGTATGTGGGTTGGGTTTCGTTTTCACCAGTCATTTTTTAATGACTCTTGCAGCATCCTTCACACACAACCTAACTTTGCATTTTTCCACTACACTAAATGGCTGATAGGCTTCATGCAAGAGCTCAGCCACTGTGGTGTTCCTGAACGCCTTGGAATGAGAACACCCTTTTGTTCAAACAAATCAACACTTAGCAAGCATGAAGAAAGATAAACAGTTTTCATAGCCAACATATCTGAATGTTGCTTCTGCAAAGGAAACAGTTTGGCTTGGAGTTTGCCCTAAGGTGATGACAGAAAAGGAAGAAACTCCCATTTAATGACTGAGTCAAGGTCAGCTCTTGCTTCCACTGACATTACTGGGAGCAGGATCAGACTGTCCTCGTGTGATCATGGCAAGCAGCTACAAGTCTTGTTTCCTCATAAAAAACAGCAAAACTCACCTACGGGCACAGGGACACACCACTATTGTCCAGCAACATGATGACGTGCAGTGCTACATGACTACCTGACGCTGAGCAAGGCATCCCTTCCCCTTTGTGAAGAACTCAAGAACACGGCTGCTTGCCCACCCATACACTGACAGACAAACACAAACACACACAACACACAAGCAGTATGAAGGCATTAATAGAATCATAAAACATAGAATCATGAACAGTTTTGGCTGGAAGAGACCTTCAAGATCATCGAGTCTAACCTTTGCCCCAGCCCTGTCAACACCACTGAACCATGTCCCTCAGCACAACATCTACCCATCTCTTAAACACTTCCAGAGACGGTGACTCAACCACCTCCCTGGGCAGCCCGTTCCAATGGCTGACAACCCTTTCAGTAAAGAAATTCTTCCTAATGTCCAACCGGAACCTCCCCTGGTGCAACTTAAGGCCATTTCCCCTTGTCCTATCACTCACCACTAGGGAGAACAGACCCAACTCCTGCCTTTGCTACAACCTCCCTTCAGGTAGCTGTAGAGAGCGATGAGGTCTCCCCTCAATTTCCTCTTCTCCAGGCTAAACAGCCCCAGATCTCTCCGCCGTTCCTCGTACAACACATGCTCTAAATCCTTTACTAGCTTGGTAGCCCATCTCTGTACCCTCTCCAGCTCAACATCAAGGAATGAGTGGGAGGCTACAGGTTAAATACACTGGTGATGGTGGAATTTTCATTTTACATGGGATGTGGAGGAGAACATGAACAGAAGACATTTTATCATCCCTGCTCCACCAGTTTGCTGCCTAAGCTCTCTCTCCCTGTGGCCCACTGTACCTGTTGGGTGTGACACCATGGCTACAGTGGACTATGCTTCTCTATCCAAGAGGGCAAGAGCATACAAGCACCCAGTCGGCAGTCTGGGATCCCTGTGTAGCTTCTGCACCTCTGAACTAAGGGCTGTTTGTTCACTGGTTCTTCTCCCCTACGACAAGGGGTCTGCACGTAGCAGGTAATGGAAACCTGCACTTTCCGTGTGGGAGGTCCCGCTATGTCCTGACAATCAACACATGAGGAGGGGTAATTACAAAATGATCACACATGTAACAATGGCTTACAGGAACTGCCTAGGCCCTGCCCTGCCTACCCCCAAGCGTGTAACAGCGTGCTGCTCATCCGGAGCACCACACTTGCACGGACCTCTCTGTTGTGTAAAAGTCAATGAGATTACACTTACAGATGCTTGGAGGGGTTCACTGCCATTTCTTTCCCTTCAGAGGGAAGTGCAGGCACCCATTAAAACAACTACAAATGATTCGTCAACCAAGCCATGCCTTCTGCTAAAGTTCCTGATGACAGCTGCTACCCAGCATGAATACACAGGATTGGTGGTGATACAGTCGGTCCCTTCGGTATCGCTCCCAGATCCAGTAAGGAAAGCTGTCCTTCTGGAGGGTGACACCTTTGCACTTACTGACAACAATCCCTCTCTGGGCTAAGGCTGGAAGACTGGGTAGGCACCATTCTTACACGGGGTACTGGGGATAGTAACACTTCCATTCCCCGCTGTCTCATGGAGCCACAGCATGGCACAGGAGGGACAATAAAGAGTCACATATGCAAATCATCCTCTAGGATTTTCACAGATTTTGGCACCATCTTCCAGCACGACAGATATTTTGTCTCCTTGGCACACTCCTTGGTGCCCCTGCCACCACCCGTTGTCCTGTTCCCGGGTGCAGGCAGTTCCCAGGGCTGCACAGGGACCTCAGCTCCTTCCCCGGCGCAGGCAGCACGTGGTGCCGGGCTCCTGCGGCAGCCGCTCAACAAGGATGCAGCAGAGCTGAGCCTGTTCCACGGTCTCCATGGTTTCACATCTCTTCAGAAACAGATCAACTCGCATCATCTTTGTTTGAACACGGCTCTCGGCTTTACTGTTAAGATACGATGTAACGAGTGCCTTGCCGACCAATGCTACCACACACAAAAGAAACAGCGCAGAATCCGACTGATCTGAGGGAAGAATAAAACTAAATCCACAAATTGCCTTTTTTTTTCTGACTGAAAATTCCTTCTCCAATGGCGTCTGGCAACTGACTCAGCCATCCTGCACTTTAAAAGCTATTGCTGGATGGGCAGAAGGATAATTATTTACTTGCTCTGATCATTGTTATTCCATATTGGTCTGAGGTCAAAATGGTTACAGGATTCAATGTACAGAGATGCAAAGAGTATCTTTCATGTCTACCAGCTGCTTTAATCTCAGCTTGCCTTCAGCATTTATATTTCTCCTGAGTGCCGTCCTGTTGCCTTGCTTCACGGTGCTGTTACCGTGAGCTATAGGAAGGCAGCAGACAACACAACTCTCTATATCAGAGACTATGTCACTTATTTGATGTTTATATAGAAATTTTTACTGTGCAATAGTGAAACACATTTTTACAAATATTATCGTCGTTGAAGAGGTAGATTCTATCTGACTTCAAAATGCAAAAGGAAAAAACAGACAGAAATACGTACTCGTTTCTACTTTCCCAGAAAAATGCCCACACAAATGCTATTACATTGAATAGAGCCCTAAATGCTATGCTTTTAATGTTGATAAGCCCCCAAACCTGTTATGCAGCCTAACCAATGTTATCCTTGAGAAGTAAAGAAGGAAGAGCAAAGGAACCAAACATCTCAAAACCACATCAGAAGGACATCGTGAATCCACGCTCCTCTGGCCAGTTTGGCCGTAACACTCGTCGTTCACAGCAGTAACTGGAATTGTTGCTACCCCACAGGAACATCACAACAAAAACCACGTTCCGGACACAGGCTGTTTTAAATATGTTCTCCCGATTGCAATAGTATCAGATGGCAGTAATTTTGGACCAGATTTCGATCCCCTTATTCATGCTGGCAAGCCATCGCCTCCACAAATAGATCCACTGACTCCCATGTTAGTAACTGATTGTCAAGTGTGAGTGAAAAGATCACAGTCCTTTACCTCACTTTAATATTCAGGCTGTACTAGGAGCAAAAAAATGTATTTCATTTCCAACAAATCTATTATTTTTCAAAGACGTGGTAAAAGCATTCACCTCCTGAAAGGCAACCACATGCAGCTGTACACAAAGAGAACGCCTCATTTACCAACACAATGCCCAGACTGTAACTAAAATAATGAACACCAAGAGAAAAACTTGCCACATACCCTGAGTGCTGACCTTAACAATCAAATACTCGCTAACAGGGCAGGGACTAGAGCCAAGCTTTCAAACACCATTATGTGGGTATCCAGAGAGCAGAAGTAAAGATTCACTTAGGTGTTCAACTACAAAACCCCAGAGTTATGCCAGACAAGAACCAAACACACAAGTCACCAGAGATTTAAATCTGGAATGTAAATCTACTGCTATGAATTCACAGATTTATGAACTAATTTTGTACCTGAAAAAGTAAACACCACAGAGCCACGAATGCTTTTCCACTGGAATATTCTGTTTATGGGGTATTTTGAGAAAGCCAAAACAAATTAGCGTTTAGCAGCAGAAGACCGTCATGGGGGGGTGTCTGTGACTTTTGACTTGAGCAAACTCTAGGATGGACTGCCTTACCTAATATATTATTACTTAATTAATATTAAATAATAAGACCCCGATTTTCAAGCTTTGCACCTCTCCAGGGCAGCAATCAGCCAGAGAACAGCACTGAGAAAAAAAGCCTGAGAAACGGGTGGTTGCAGGATGCCATTATAAACTACGTCTGAGTCTGAGGAAGCTAATGTCTCTCTATTGAGAGTACCTGGTCCTCAAGAATAGTTTAGAAACAAAGGGATGGAGATCAGGAGAGAAAGCAGCTTTGTCAACCCCAGGGATAAAAAAAAAATCACAAGTTGAGCCTCTGAACAGTATGAAATTGGCTGAAAAAATATCATAGCTTTGGAAGTACTTTTATTTGCTCTGGGTTTTGAGTCTTTAGGAAGCCATCACTTCACATTTTCCAGCTTTCCTCTACCACCTGGAGGTTAGAAATTTCATTAAAAAATATAGGTGAAGATGCTCCTGCAATCATTTGACTTCAGCCGTTAACCCTTCAAGAAGATCTCCATAATGCTGAGGGTAAGAGTGTGATTCAAAGGCAGCGCTCCCTGCAGTCCAGGCATTATAACCATAATCATTACCTCATTTTTAGTGGTCGTATTAAGAGAAAAGCTGCTCATGTTCTTTAGGAAACTCTTGTATGGTCAGAGACCTGGGAGGTGCAGAGCACAGGAGCTGAGGGCTCTGCAGGACGCAGTCAGGGAGCGCCACAAGCGGGGTGCTGAGCCCCCTGCCTCCTGCCCTCCGCAGCCCTCCCCTGCCTCCTCCACCAGCATCTTTTAAGCGGCCAGTCAGGGTGGCAAAACCAGGGGAATGAGACACGCTTATTCTTGAGACTGGAACTCTGGTTTTTCTTGCCTCTTTGCCTTTATGGTACCTTTTTACAAGCTATTTTGAAACAAACTCTTCCCTGGCGCGCAGACCCAGCACCCTACCTTTGGTGCGGGGGGAAGGTTTGCACCCTCCGTTCACTTCGGTGTGGTCCTGGCGCCATCTCATGGCCACACCAACCCGCCTGGCCCGACTGGCTGGGCAGGAGGGCAAAACAGGGCGCAGGGGCACATCTGCTGTGTGCGGCAGGAGGAAACCCATCTCCTTCAGACTGTGTGCTGTCCAGTGCTCTTCTCACAAGCTGAATGATTTTACAGAGACCATAATCTCATCTATGGTGTCTTTTAGCAGACTGAGACGTTCTTTTGAATTCGTGCACATGAACAAGAGGACCATATCCCAACGCTGCAGGTGCGTGTTGGGTCTTTTTCAACCTTCCTTTCTACAAAAGTCCAAGTTCGTGGGCTGGAGGAGCTCAATGCCTTCTGGCAGATTTCCAGCCTCAATGTCTGGCAGAACGTGGCTGCAGGACAGCCGGCCCTGTACCCCAGGAGGGCAATCTAGACATAGGCTGTGTGACTGGCTGTTTAACACCAGCTGATAAAACTAATCAATCTTTCCCCAAGTGCCTTGTGTCCCAGGAAGGCATACCTTCTAAAAAGACACCTGGTCTGGCTTTGAGAATGCCAGGAGATGGAGTGTCCCCTCCTGGTCCTAAAAGAGAATTGCACTCCTGACAAAATCTCAAACGCTAAAGATGATTTACATGTGAAATGCTGATTCTGCAGGAGAAATGCCCAAGGTAAAATATATGCATTAGGATATGAATTTCTCCAAATTTATCAGTGCTTTTATCTCAAGCTGCCCTTAAAACCACATCTCCATGTTTCTTTAGTACATGCTGCTAAAACTCAAGCTTTCCCATAATGTTAAATGCATCCAAGATCTAGTTTATTACTGGTCCTTCAAGGGTGATGTCAAGCCTGAGTGCTGGGGCTGGAGAAGTCAACTCCTCACATGGGTATGACAATGCTGACTGAATATTTCTGTGGAGCTGGTGCTGGCAGGAAGGACAGAGGCTGCTGCTGCTATTTCGGCACTGAGGCTAAAATATCTGCAATCCTGAAAATGCTGAAGAGCACCGTGATGTTCTAGCATGCTGGACTCTACCTCCCAGCCGTTACAAGCACACCACATACAGAAGGAAGAGCTGTATGAATGTCACTAGCCACAAAGCCAACATCCTATGTGACTTCTCAGCCCCTCAAGTCACCTAACTCAGTAAGCATTTGGTCCTGAAGTTTACAGGCATATCCCGTCACTGCTACAAACACGGGAAACTAAGCAGGCCCTCCTGAATCTCTTGCCACCTCAGACGGACATTATGGTTGGCCTTCTCACTCAAATACCTATCTGAAAACAGGAAAGGGTTCACTAGCCAGAACGTGGGTGACGTGTGTACGATGCGCTCACCACACTCATCAGCCCCAGACTCTCAAATCCTGTGGGTGAGGAGCTGGGAAGGCACAGCTGGGCACAGTGTCTCCTTCCGTCAGTCTCTGGCTCAAGGCAGTGGCTTGTTCAGAGTGAATGGGAGACGCTCAGGGCACATGGTCTTCCTCACCCCATAAGTCACATATCAAAATCTTTATAAGGCAAAGAGCCACAAAGCACACACACTGTACTGCAGAGACAAGGGGAAAGGAAGCTCTGGGAGGAGTCTTTAAGTGGGAGACGACAGCAGCTCCCCAGAGGCTGCGTTTTGTAAGAAAGGGCTGAGGCTGAGCAGGCAAGCTGGCTGCTAAGGCACCTCGGACACGTCAGATGAGAGCCTGTGCTGGCTGGCTTCCTCTCACACCTGGGGATTCGTGTCACTCAGCAGCTCCTGTGACAGCCCAGCCCAGCTGCTGGCCACGTGGCAGAGCCCTGGCATGGGAACGGCACAAGAACTGGTTCTGAGCCGGAGCAGGGAGGCTCAGGCTGCCCCGAATGCTCAGTGGTTGTTAAAGGTGGCTGACGATTAACCAGCTCTCATGTTATTTCCCTGGTCAGCAGCCTTCCTTCCTGTTCTTGTGGTCACAACAAAATAACAGTGTTATGAACAAGAAACTGACACAAACATGCAAGAAGATCCTATGAAGCTGTTCTGGGGCAGACTGTACGTCCCCTCCTTGGCAGATCATATCCCAAGCAGGATCTGCTCTAAAACCCACAGTATGAAGAGTCTGTAACGTCCACATTAACCCTCAGAAGAAATCACAGGGATTGCACAGATTTTAAACAGGTGTGAAAGGATAAGCAGACTCCCGCTGTTTAGTGAGCCAAAATGCATTACACAAACAGTCTGATTCTGCTCTCACATCAATTTTGCATCACTTCAGCTCATGGCTTTCAGTAGTTACCTGCAGTAATCTGACATCCATGCAAGTGCTGAAACAAAAATAATGCTTATAGTATCTTTTCTCATTCAGTTGTTTCTCTAGAGCAAAATTTGTACCGGCACAGCAACTAGTCCCATGTTTCTGTTCTAGACACATTCTGAGCACTAAAATGTAAAGTAAAAAATTGCAGTGGCATGCCCGGGCCACAGCAACGCGATGCCTTTCACCCCTGGCTCCAAGCCCCCCGGGTAGCAAACTGCATAGTTAATGGTATTAACAGAAGATTACCCCTTCACTGGTTTTCTGCAAATCTGAAGAAGTGTTTCTTGTGTCGTTGCCTGCGTCCCCAGCATCAGAGCTGCTCTTATTTTCTTCCTCTTTGCAGTCCTTATCATCTTCATCTCCAGGAGATTTCCGTGACTGCTTGGAGGATTTCTAAAACAGTCAACAACAAAGTTGAAAAGTAAAAACTAAGCTTCAGCCACACACTTTTCTAATGTATGTGAAATACTGTCTGATCATGTGGTTCCCTGTTCAAGGTCAATATTGGGAAGGGTAGGAGGGGTGACAAGTGGTTTTAAGGTGAAGTAGTTGGAGTTACTGGCATCAGTGAAGCAAAAGGAGAAATTCAGTGTTTCACACAGGTTGGCAGCACAACTGACTGTAAGAGACACAGTAACAGGAGATGGGTATTGGTGTTGGGTCACCTGTAGGTTTTGCTGGTTAGTGAAACAGATGGTGCCAGCTTGACAAAAGTTTTGATTAAACACAGAGATGTAAAATGAGAATAACATCAGCAGAGCTGCTTTCCATACTTTTTTTTAGTGCTGTCAGCTTTAATATATTAACATTAAAGCCATGTGGAACCAATACATCTTTTCTGCTCCCTTTATGTTATGCAATTCTACAGTACAAAAGGATAAATTGTGGCATTAAGCCACCATTTTCCTAATCCTCTGTTTGCCCAGAGTCTTCTGGAAAGAAGATGGTAGACCAGACCTGAATTTCTAATGGAAAACACACAAAGCGGTTGAAATGACTAAATATATTTTGTTTGGTGGAAAGACCATGAAAATTCCTGCCCCAAACTGAGCCTGGATCAGATTGTTTGCTTGCTTCTTCTCATTTAATTTAGTTTTCACTTTCAGAGAAGAAAAACAAGAATGTGAATGAGCATGACCCTGCCACTTTCCACAATTTTTTAAGTGAAGTAAAGACGTGGAGGCACACACAGAACCAGAGGAAGTGACTATAATGTTGCTCCCTTTCCCTTAGGTGACAAGTGAGAAGCATATCTGAACCCAGAGTTGTCACTGCACGGGTATTATGTTCACAGCCATTATGAGGCTGTCTGAGACACACTACTGCTAGTTTCCTCATCTGTGCTGTTACTCTGACATTAACAGGTAAGTACTATAATGCAGGTCTTTTATCTACAAATTGAGTGCCCTACTCCCTGCTTAATGAGTTAGCTCCCTCCCATTCTGTACGCTGTGCTGAAGTATTTTACACTCAGCTACGACAGGAGCAGCTGAGCACATCTGACCCTACCACATGCTTTCGCATGGCATCTGGGCTACTCACGCTGGAGATGGGAGAGGGAAGTTTGAAATCTCCTGGACAGGAACCAAACCTGAAGCCACCTCTCCCAGAAGGCAAATTCTTAAGGTTTTTCTTTTTTCCTCTTCATGGGGTAATATCTATCTAAGATGATGAAATCTATCAATCCATCTTTGCATGGATTTTCTTTGCAGCCCTTCTGAACTCCACCCCATACTTCCACCTCCTTCTCAAAGTGTGGGCACTAGAACAGGGCAGAGTATTTCAACTGCTGTCTCATACAGGCTGTCTGCAAAAGCAAGAGCACTTCCCTTTGCCTGTTTGGAAACCATCATTATGGTACTGCAATCAAAATGCTGAAGAAGAAAGAACAGACTGCCATGAGGCACACAGTATTCTACTTATAAATGCACATAGGTAAAAATGGAAAATCTCAGAAGATAACCTTTGAAGTGTAGGATTTTTTCCGTTTTGAGCCTGCTTTTTCATTCTTTCTTTTTCCTTTTCCATCCTCTTCTACCCGATCACCTTCCTCCTCACTGCTGGCATCTGCTGTATTTCCTCCTTCTCCTTCAGTTTCTGATGAGCTCTGTTGCTGAATTGCCTTTAAAATAACAAGAATAACAAAAATAACAAACACCAAAAACATCACTAAAATCTTAACATAATTTTTGTTCTGTACTGAAGATAGAAGTAGTGGTAACAGACAGCTTACACTTTTAATTGTTACAGTCAGGAAAAGCTCAGGTTATTCTTGGAATTATCAGGAAAAAGGACTGCAAAGGCAATTTTCTCAGTCACCACTTAAAGCCAGTTACCAGATGAAGATTCTGAGATGGCATGTTCTGAAGCATTTACACAGAAACAGAAGATGAGGTAACAAAAACGTGTTTGCCAGAGAACTAAATGTTGCTCAGTGGAGAGACCTGGCAGGTTTTACCTTAGGTAAAACTATGAAAACTTTTATCCTTTGGCTGCAATATGAGAGACTCAGTCAGGAGAGAAGGTGACTGTTACAACCCCTCCCCAAAGGGCAAGATCTCCGTGTTAGGAAAAAGCAAACGCTGACCAGAAGGCTGAGAGCTCTTTGACAGTTCATCTCCCACAGACTATTCACTTGATTTTTTTAAATCCCCAAGTGCATGCAAAACATCTGTAGGGCTGAAAATGTGAAACAGGAACTGAGAGGGGCAGCAGCTTGTCTGCAGGTGGTCCATATCTCTGGTTTGTAAGGTTTTGTGCTAATAATGTAATAGGTGTTCGCCTTCTTTTAGACGTGGTTGCTGCCTTCAAAAGACCACATGTTTTTAATGAGAAAAGTTCTTTGGTTTTATGCAGCCCACCAACTACCCTTCTTCCCCTCCAGCTTCACTGACTTCACAGACATCCAACAGGGAGAGCTGTTGTACAGCTGCTACTATCCCGTCACAGCAGCTTAAACCTCCACCTCCTCACCCCTCACAACCCTGGCAGCAGCATCTGACCTGCCAGACATTACCGATGTAAAAATCAAAAGTGCAGTGACCTTAAGGCCTGTGTAAAATACACTGAACCTGATGCAAAAATAAACAGCAGAAAGAAGAAGTCAGAAATTATTCATGTTTACACTGGAGTAAATAAAACCTTCCATTTTTAATTCAACTAAATCTGCTGCAGAATTTTCCACTTCACCACCTCAGAATATCACAGAAAGCAAAGAGCTCTGCAGTATGATTAAAGTTCAAATTGTCACAGAGTGCAAGACCACAATTGTCTTCACATTACACAATTACAAAAGCAGTGAAACTTTCTAGCTTCACCAAACCCAGCACCTTCCACATCACTCACACAATGTTTACATTGACAAGAAGCCTTCAAAGAAGAAAACAAGGTAAGGAGGAATAGAAGCGAAAGTCATATACCTGATATCCAGTAAACTTTACTCCAGGGTTGTTTTCTATTTCCCACAGGCCTTCATTAAATCCTTTTCGCTTGTTCGACTTCCCAAACTTATCTTTATACTCTTTATATGGGAAAAGGTCTTTGGGCCCCAGGAACGCACTGCATTTTAACAAAGGTAACATTCAAAAAAGGACTTAAATTCCTCCTCTTCAAAAAGAAAACATTAATAGTGCAAACATTTACCCTATTCTTCCGCTCATTCCACAATTTCTTTTTCAGTTTTGTTTGTTTGTTTATTTATTTATTTAACACACTGGCTTTGAGTTACTGCTGTGAGTGATTTAATGGCCTGGCTCACCATCCTGATGTTTGATGTTGCAAAAACAGGCTGAGTTTCTCCAGAAACAACTAAAACATTTCTCATTTATTATATTAACTACTGCTGGGAACTGGCACTCAAACAGTTTATAAAAGGGATTATATGACGTAATTGCCTGCGATAGCAAAGGACCAAATTTTCAATCCTATGTGTTACAACTCCAGAAAGGCCTAAAAACAACATATGAAAAGTAAGAGCACATAAGGAGTGCCTAGAACCCGTGGGCCAAAACTTATCCCTTGTACTACAGGACAGAAAAAGCCATGGCATTTATTACTATCTATGTTGTCAGTATGCCTGGGAGCATCTTCCCTGGAACAAGACCCCCCACATGCTAAATTCTGTGCAAACACAATAAAAATGCTCTCTTTCCCGAAAATCTTCTAATTTCATATAAGACAAGAAACAATGGGTGAATATAGGCAGATGAGTAATACAAGGAAACAATGAGACACAGAGGGTGCTTGTGGCCAAATTGTTTTTTAGACAGCACAGCAAAGGAGGGATTTTGTGCTCTGCTGCTGTGTAAGTCAGCTATGCACTGGGTCAACTAATTTCAGACACAGGCACCACAATGCAGGGAAAAATATTTACAAAAAAAAAAAAAAAGAGTGGTGATTTACCCTGCTTTTTCCACATACTTTACAGGAAAAGTCTTAACTTCTTACAGAAAAGTGAAGAAAGTATCATTTCCTTTTCACTGGGTATCTACAACCAGTGTGTTTGCTTTGTATCATGGTACTGGACTGGCTGATCATAAGCATCCTGGTTTTGCTGGGATGGAATCACGGAACCAATTTTCTATCCAGGAAAGCTGCATTTTTGAGAAGACCGCAGCACCCAATTTGATGACAACAAAGTATTTAAGACACTTTGTTTTCATTTGTGGACACGCAGGTCTCCACAGTGATCAAGGTCATTAGCAGTCTGGAGTCAGCCCGGTGCTAACGCCAGGAGGAGCGACAGCCCCAGCAGCTGACCCAAGCTGGCCAACAGCAGTGTTCCACACCATAAACGTCACGCCCCCTATAAATGAGAAAGCCTGCTGGGGACAGGCTCTTTTCCTGCTGCCTGCCATCCCCGGGTGGGTCTCGCCTCTCATTCTGCTCCCGAGGCCACTCTCCTTTTTGCTGCGACCATTGCGCTTTCGCTGGAGCCGTGGTGCTGGCAGTGCTGACACTGGAAGTGCTCAGCTCGTGATCACCACACGGGCTGAGTGTGACTTGGTGTACTTTCTGTTAGCATTAGTATTAATATTAGTTCTTCTTATTACTATTACTTTATAAAATCTGCTTCCATTCGAACCCACAAGTCTCCTTTCCTTTTCCCAATTTCCCTTCTTGAGGGAGGTGGTCACTGGGTGATAGAACAACTGACTAAATGGAGACAGTAAGTTAAACCAAAAACAGTGAAGGCAAAAAAGACCCCTTTGTTCCCACATGGAAGACTTTATGTCACCAATGATGGAAGCTGAGCAAGTTCTTCACTCTAATCACCGTCCTACTTTCAGGATGAACTTTACAATTAACATTAACTCTGTCGCCTCCATTACCAGGGGATTGCTGAGCTCCATCATTTACAACACATTTATTCTTGTAACATCATCACAAGCTTGGGAAGTTGCCTTTTTTGCAGATGGGCTTACGAAGAACAGAGATTTGCCCAAAGTCTAGCTCAAACTGAGAGCGGAGTACAGAGGAAACCCCAATTCTCTTCAGTCTCAGTCTAATACCTTAATACAGGATCATATTTCTTCCTTGTTGTAAGCATTATTTCAGATTAATGCCTGATTTATGCCCTGATTTTTCCCAGCATTTATCAATGTGCAAAGTTTCATTCACTTAAATCATCCCAGTGGCCAAGAAGTTTGCCAGTACAAAGCCAACTGGTGGCTGAAGACATCAGATGACAAGTCTCCGGGCGAAGAGCTTCCTTATAACAACACAGGAGACAGAATAGCATCCACACTCAGTTGTCTCATTGAGAAATCTCTTAATTGCATAGTTAGAAAACCAAGACCAGAAAGTCAAACAGTGATTTCCAAACTAACATATGTCTCGTTAATATTAAAGGCTACTGCAGAGCAAGGGATCTGAATAAATTATTTTATCTATCCTTTTACTAATACTAGGTGACGACTCCTTGCTGCCAAAAATACATGCAAACAGTTCTAACACAAATAAAGGAAAACTGTAAGAACCTTACAATGAGCTACCTTAATTTAGCTCACCAGTAATGTATGGAAATGTTTCTACAGTCTTTTATGTACAGGAAACACAAAAAATTGTCTACATCTTTCTTTGAAATACCTTCATTGCCACTGGGAGAATATAACAGTTTCCACTGCTCTGCTATAAAACTAAGGAGCTGCAATTTACAGTTAATTTTTAACAGCTATGCTTTCTATATTAATAAGGTTGTAACTAGGAACTGTTTTCCTGTTTCAGATGTTACAGTGAGATCACGGGCTGACAAAATCTAAACCAAAAGAGATTAGCAGTCTGCGATTCATTAATTCCAGGATAAAAAGTGCCAGAGTTTGTTTTCTCAAAATGTTTCTCATGAAAAATGTTTCCATTAAAAAAAAAAAAGTTTTTGTTCTTGATTTTAAAGGGTCATTAGTTTATTTGAAATTTATTCTTTTTAGATTATTTTGCGACAGTGCTACTAGATCACAACGTAACAAAACATCAGGCTGGTTCATTACAGCAATAGGAAGAAATGTATCAACTAAAGAGAGGCTATTTTGATTTTTTTAAGCAGAAACTGCCTTTAAAGATTTTTAAAATAAAACATGATGTATGAGCTATGGGGCTTCTTCCAGAATAATGTTAAAACACAGAAATAATCAATAGATTTTTAATCAAGCCCCAAACCTCTAAAATCAAATTTAAAATGTCACCAGAATTTAATTTTTTAATTTTTCTATTTTTTTACAAATTCTAGAAAACATGTTCCCTGTAAGTGGGGAAGGAAAAGTTTTAAAATGTAATCATTTCATGCAAAAGGGAAACTACAATTTATTTTTAACTACCTTAGACATAGTGTAAAACAGAGACATACATGTTTTAATTGTGAAACTCCGTACTTTGTAGCAATTACTACAAGACCTAGCTTATCCATTCTGGTTTGATTCCTTATATGAGCTCAGCCAGCTCAGTTCTTCTATTGCTTCTGCAAACTCCATCCTACATTATCGCCAGCACAAACCTCACAGGAATGTGTGTGTTTTAAAGCTATGCAAGGATTGCATGAGACTCTGGGGTCTGCTGCCTTTCATTTTACAAATTACCAAGTGAGTTCTCACACCGGACATGAACCCAGATTTGTCCAAATACAGCAGCTCGATCTCTGCTATCGTGTACATTCCAGTAAAAAACTTTTGCCCCTGCATCAGAGTTCAGGTAAGCCTTTAATAAATTTATGCCAACACTTTTCTTTACGGGAATCACAGGCACTGGTTGTTATTTATGCTTAGACCATGGCATACCATCCACACAGCAGTGTTTCCAGCTACTTTGAGGTTTCACTTCCATGTGTTAACAGAAACAAGTTGGGCTCGCAGGACCTATCTCTAGGCTCCCAGTGGCTTCAGTCAGGATTTGTTCCAATAAGATGAGTGGAGATGACGTTTGCGGCAGTGGAAGAACATTTTTACAAAGCAAAAGACTGTGTTCATTCACTTACGTTTCATGAGTCCCGAAAAAGAAGATGGGGTATTTGTTTGCTGGAGGCTTCACTGCTCCTTCAGGGAGTTCATCAATCTGTGAGTCAGAAATAGATAAAGGGTTATTCTCAAAGGTGGTGTCCCATGTCCAAGAATTCCCACCAAGCCAGGGAAATGCTAATGCAGGTATCCCACAGCCCCAGGAGATCCCACTGTGTGAAGGGAAGACGGCTGCTGCTCTTCCAGGCAGGCAGGTCACACAAAGTCAGCACAGGACAGAAACACTACAGGGAGACAACAGAAGACCAAGGAGCAGACAGAAAGTTTTAATGATTTCACGGGCATTATAGTACACAAAGGCAATAAAATCAAGTCTGCTTAATTTAAGTGTTAACTTCAGATGCTGTCTCATCAAAGGCACCAAAGCCCAGAGGGTAATCCTGCCTGTCTCACACAGCCACCTAAATAACTTCTGCAACAAATGGGGAACAGATGGTATCTCTGAGACTCTGCAGCCGGAACACCGGACAATCTCTCATCGGTGCTTCCTGGTGGTGGTCATGGCACGCAGTGTGAAATATGCAATGCCTGGGACTCTCTTTTCTCTGCGGTGACCAGGTTTTGGTCACCGCTGCCCTTTGTACTCAATCTCTCCTTTCACATTTTACCCCTGGCCTCCTATTTCTCAAGATATAGCTGCAGAGCAGCTGAGGGAGAGATGGTGAGGGTGCTCTCCCGAGATACAGCCAGGATTGAGACAAACCCACCAGGCTGAGCAGTGCCTAGACCCCACCTTCTGATGTCTGAGTAAGAGCGCTGGTTGCAAGGCAGAAGGTTAGGCCCATGACTTAAGTCTTGCCCGTATCTAATTTTTCAATCCTCTGCAACAGGAATAAGAGAGTCCAGATGCCTCCCCACAAAAAGCAGAAACACAGCACAGCCTGCAATCCCAGAAATGGCACTTCTGAGCATATGCAGGTGTCTAAAATTAAGCGTCCAGAGAACCCTCTGGCCAAGCGGGAACCTAATGAAGATAGATACTCAGAGGGCAACACCAGAGCGCAGGTGAATGGCTTGCTGCCTGTCTCTCAGGCAACCCAGTCTCAACATAAGCATATTGTATCCTGCCAAACGTCACTGGAAGTAAGAGCAAAGTGCTGACACACCAATGCTATATGAAATCTGCTCCTCAGCAGAGCACAGGGATGGAACCTGCATGTTTTCACTCAGGAGGCCAGGCCCACATGTGCTTTCCTTCTCCTTTCCTGCCGAAGGACCCCAAACATTGAATTCTTGTTGATTAATAAACACCAGATTGTTTTCAAAGGATGTTCTCTTTCACTGTCAAGCATCTGCTGGCTATGTAGCTCTCAAAGGAGTATGAGGTTTTAGAAGAATTTGAGTCTTTTTGGTCTTTCCACATGGACACCCTTTGGGGACAGAGAAAGGAGAGCCACATGCGGAGCTGTAACATCACAGAACTCCTTTCTGCAAAAGAAATGGATGCCTGTCTTTCAGGTCTAAGTGGAGCATTCTCTAAAGCTACACCAAAATCAAGGACTTAAGAGCACTTCCAAACCATTCTCTGTCTCTCTTCTGCAGCACAACTCAGAAGTGGGGATGGTGGGGCTCTGGCACACTGGGGCCCGTGTCCCCATGCACTCACGGCCCAGCATAGTCTGCAGGAGACAATCTGTGACAGTCAGAGGTGTCCCACAGCAATTGCCCAACTTGCTTGACTTAACAAAGCTAAAGAACTGATTAATAAAAAAGAAATTCTATTAGTTAAATGCACATAGAAGAAAGATACACACTGGTAGATGATGGTTGTGTGCATTCACTTCTAGCTCAGCTGTGTATAACAAGGAACTAAAATCACATGACAGGCTGTTGGGTGTCCTTTTCATCATCAGGAATGCACAGAGGAAAGACTGCCAAAGATGTTTTTTTAGAACTCATTATTTTCTGACATTAACTATTTGGTTTAGGTAAGTGCCCATAATGTGGTTATGTGCTCCCTAACTCGTGTTTTAAATGCAGATATTGGACTCTAACAGTGATAAAAAGACTGCAGGGGAAAACCACTCCAACTCACTTTACAAACTGATAGCAATTCAGGGAGATAGCACGTCCCACTTTGCAACACATTTTATGCCTCCTTAAATACGGAAGCATCTATGCATCAGACCAAAAAAAGGCTGTGCTTGCAGTTTACCACGTGTGAGGGTAATATACCTCAACTGTCTGCATGCCACAGCCATCTTCCTCTTTACTATGACAAAGAAGATATTCAGAGAGATACACTAGACCCCAGAAAAAATGTAGACTCCCACAACTGAGATGAACAATGTCTGCTGGGACCTGCGTGTAAATCTCATTTGGCCTCTTGAAACTCGGTGCCAGCTCTGGGCTCCTTTACAGAACAGCACAGTCCAGTTACTGTCTCAGCCCTTTAAGAATTTCTCATGAAATAAAGCGAACAGCTGTGAATGATCAGTAAAGCGAAGGAATGAAGACACGCTTAGCAGGGAACGCTGATCAGAAGGGAATGGGGATCTTACATCACACAACATGCTATGCTCCAAAGCACCGAGATCTTCTCCTAAGCAACATCCCAAGTAGAGTTAAGCCTCATGTCATATTCCCAGTAGTTGATACTGCTAGCTAAGGAGCAGCATTGAATCCACAAAGGACAGCAGACACATTCGTCATGCAGCTCACCTGCTCTCCATTTCATGGCGTATTTCTTTATTTGCCCAGGTATCATCACAGGAAACTGTAAAAAAGCTTTTCATAGCTTCTCAAAGTTGGCATACACATACAAACACATGCAGTATAAACCTGCACTGAACAGCTCAAGGACAGACGGTTAATGCTCCCACTCTAACATTTCACTGTGCAGCTGGGGTCAAGACTTTTCCTGCCTTCACTGATTTTGCTGTGAGCTCCCCAGCTCTCAGGCTTATGTCACTAGCACTGTAATGAGGTTGAATATGAAGTGACAGTGCTATCTTACAGCCATTTAACTTAATGGCAAAAACTCCAGGGAATTCAGTGTGGGATGAGTCCCTTTCTGTCATTAGGAAATATCTCTTGCCTTTTTACCTGTTCCAATGTGAATACCTGCATTAGAGACCATGCACAGTCCAGCCTTTCTAGCAAAACCACCTCAGCCCTCTGCCGAGCCCCTAAGTGCTTATTTAGCTGCAGAACAACCTCAGTGCTCTTTGGCGATTGCTGCTGTTCTGTAGTAACAGAAAGCAAGCAGTACAGGCAACCATACTGCAGCTCCCTGCTGCTGCTCTCAGTAGCAATTTATTCCCATCCTGCAAGATGTTTTCGTTAAATATGCTGAAGATTCGGATCTGATATTTTTCCCCATATCAGCAAGATCAAAGACAGAGAGAGAGGGGAGGGAGAGAAAGAGAGCGAACGCGTGAACAGAAGAGCGAGAAAAGCATCACTGCTTCGAACCAGGAACAAAAGAGATAAGTGCACCCATACTAGGACACAGTGTTGTAGTCACAGAAACCTCACTAATGACTAAAGCATCTGTCTATCAGAAAGCCAGACTGCGACTGCATTTTGCTCCTGGAAGGAAACAAACAGATTCTAAAGTGCCCATTATAACCTGCAATCAAACAGGAGATCCAGCCCCTCCTGAACCAGAGCAGACAGTGGGCTGGAGCTTGATGCCACAGAATCAGTGAGCACAGCGCATGGCGTGCAAATCTGATACGCGCAGCAGCAACATCGTGGGCAGCCGCTTCAATTATGGCTAAAATTAAAGCAGGTCGTTTCAGATTTCGAGTTTTATTCCCTTTGCTCCCGTTGCTGTCATCTGCTTAATGAATAACAATTGCTTTCTTTTTGCACAACCTCAGCAGAGCTGCACATCCTCGCATTTGTTTGCCAACCAAGCAGCAAAGCTTTAAAGACAAACCATGGTTTTTTGTGGTTTTTTTTTTTTTTTTAAACAAATGCTACGCTTCTAGGGTCAGGAACACTGAACAAAAAACTCAGTCTATACCTCTAAAACAAGAGCAGAGCTTTATCAAATGGTGTTGCTAGGGACTACTGGCATGCAAGCAAGAAGTCTGTCTCCTTACATTCTAGTTTACAGGCTAGGATGTATATGCAGCCTGAATATCTTGCTCTCAGTGGTGCTGAGTAATTGCTGACTTCTCGGGTAGTATTTCCAACTGGTTCTCATAGGCTGGGTTTGACACTACTCACACTACAACACCTTCTTCCCAGTTGCCACGAGGGAAGAGAGGCATTGGCTGGGTGGGTTGGACTGGGGCTGCAGAGCCACAGCCCTGCGAGGAGGAGGAGGAGGTAGAGCTGCCCTCCAAGAACGACAGTGGCTCCCAAAAGCACAAAATCCTCTCGCTGTGCCTGCCTCTGGGATAACGTGGCATATTCCAGATAGGCGGAGGGAAGTCCCTGGGAGGGCTGGTGCAGAGCTGGAGGAAGCTGCACCCCCTCCCGGGTGTTGTGCGCCGCAGAGCTCTGCATTCCCTGCAAAATGGGAAACATGTCTCTCGGAGACGCAGAGCCAACGGCGAGCTTTGTCTCTCCGCCTGCCTATGTCAAGCGGCTTTCTGTGGAGGTTTGCATTATTGCAGCAGTCAAGAAAGGGGCAGCTCTGCCCATCAAGGCGGAAGGGCATCCCAGATGCGTTTTCTTCCACTTGCAGGGACAGCAAGTGTCACGCTGTATGGCTATCACAAAATCTCTGCGTTGTGGATAAGCTGCTGTGCAGAAGCAGGAATTCCAGGCTGCCAGGGTGACTTTCAGACCAGATCCTGCCATGTTACGTTCCAACAGAATTTTACACTGCCAAAAAAAGGTATTATGCAAAAATACCTATCAGGTCCACGTGTACAGACAAGAAAGGCTTTACTTCAGCAGGCAGAGATGCTTACGTGGGCACTGAAACCACAAGAACAAGTCCTTTTATTTTGCAAAAGGAGGGAATTAAAACTGCAGAGCAGTAATCACTGATTGTTTTGACATACTGTAAATGCCTCTGATTGGCAAAAGCACACAGAAGCATTGCAGAGATCAGTATCTCCCACTGAAATCCCTGGAGTC